GACGGCATGCTGCGATGCAGATGTACGGACCACAGTCAACTGCTTGTGTGTCAGAGGCAGCAGGAACAGAGACCTGGGGGCAGGGGTCATAGCACACACCTGTTCAGCTCTCGGATGGCTCGGAGTCTGCGGATGTAGCGACGACAACACGGCAGAACGGAGAGGTGGTGGGCGTGCAGGGTGAGAAAGAAACATTCCGTAGGGAATTTTGGCTCAGAAAATGGAGGCTGGTCTCCATCTAAAAGAAAAAGAGAAAAAAAAAAAAGTCAACATGAATCCTTAGGTAAAGTCAATTATAAGCCTTAAGTGAAAAGTCCAGTTCTGAAGGAAACTAGGTTAACACTTTCTGTGTGCGTGTGACGGTGGTGTGAGGACATGGTTTTGTATTTGCATGTGTGAAGTTGGCACTTTCCTCTTTCTACACCTTATTCTTGAGACTGGGCATCTCACTGATCTTCGACATCATCAGTTGGCAAGGCTGGACAGCCAAAGACACAAAATGCAGCCTGCGTCCTTCCACCCTGTGCTGGGTGACAGTTGGGTACTGACGTGTCCGGCTTTTACGTGCCTGCTAGGAAGCGGAGCCCAGGCCCTCAGGCCTGCCTATCAGTGCTACACTGACTGGGTGAACCATCTCCTCAGCCCCCAAAATTTTATTTTTGTGTTGCTTTTTGAGAAGGGTCTCTCTATGTAGCTCTGGTTATACTGGAACTCACAGAGATCTGCCTGCCTCTACCTCTAGGTACTGGGATTAAGGATGCACCAACTAAGCCTCCAAGAATATTTTTTTACATTAGAAACTTATATGATGTTGTAAGAAAAACAAATTCAGGCTGGAGAGATGGCTCAGAGGTTAAGAGCACTGGCTGCTCTTCCAGAGGTCCTGAGTTCAATTCACAGCACCCACATGGTGGCTCACAACCATCTAGAATAAGATTTGGTACCCTCTTTGGCACACAGGTATACATGCAGACAGTACACTGTATACATACATAATAAAGAAATCATTTCTTTGTGTCAGAACATTCAAATCCTCCCAGGAGCTTGTATGAAATACAGCCAAGCTTCTACTGACCATGGCTGTTCTGTGTGGTACAAAACACTAGGCCGTTTCTCCTAGGCAACTGCACCCTTAACCAGCTGCAGTACTCCAAAGGCACAGTCTAGCTGCTTAGGAGACTGAGGCAGGAGAATTGCTTGAACTTGAGGCGAGCCTAAGCAACACAGGAAGTCCTCAACTTAAAAACTAATGCCACCAGCTCAACTGCTGCTCTATTCATTATTGTCTGTGCCTCCATTACCCTTTTAATAGTATTTTCTTTTTTTGTCAAGTATTGCCAGAACTTATAGAGTGATGAAAAGAATTTATTTAAAAGTATCTTTCTGGGCTGGAGAGAAAGCTCAGAAATTAAGAGCACTGGCTGCTCTTCCAGAGGTCCTGAGTTCAATTCCCAGCACCCACATGGTGGCTCAGCACCATCTATAATGAGATCTGGTGTCCTCTTCTGGCATGCAGGCACACATGCAAATAGAATATTGTATAAATAAAATCATTTTAAAAAATGCATCTTTCTTTTCTTGGTCTTGTAAGAAAGGGTCTTGCTACGTAGCTCAGGCTAGCCTTTAACTTGTGACTCTCCTCCCTCAGCCTCCCGAGTGCTGGGGTTATAGATATGCACTAAGCAAGGCTGAGCACTTGGTAATTACTTTTCTGGAAGGTGTGCATTTGATCATGGCATTTCCACTTTCAGGTAAGTAGGAATTCCTCCTATCCCACACATAATTTAAAATGTTTTTAAAAACTGGCATAGGATTTTGATTTTTATAATTACAGATATATTTTATTTCATCAAGAAACAAGATTATCATCATCAGGTGGGCTTGGCACATGCCTTTAATACCAGCACTCGGGAGGTCCAGGCAGAGGCACATGGATTTCTGAGTTTAAGGCCAGCCTGGTCTACAGAGTGAGTTCCAGGACAGCCAGGGCTACACAGAAAAAAACTGTCTCAAAAAACCAAAATAAGACTATTATCATCATATATCATCACAAATATGACCAAAAGTCATATTTTCAACCATCACAATATAACTCAAAATCTATATTATAAAGTCACTGTTATTATTTCTTCCTTCTCTTTCCCACCCATGTGGTCTATGTATCTGTTGAGTAATTCAAGGAAGAATCTTCACTGTGTTATCTTTAACTGTGTATCTCAGAGCCCTGCAGATGAAAGAGAGGTGACCTAGCAACAAACATGTCACTCACAGAGCTCAGCCAGCCACTCATTCACATCCTCCATCGTTGCATTTATTCGCGTCTCGTCATTCGGGAGAGTGATCCGACATCGTGGGTGGAATATGTAAGTGGGGTCGACTGTTTCTAACTTGATTTTCGTACTTAGCTGCTGCAGGACCCAAAGGAGATTCAGCATAAACCCATCTGTAGACACCAACCGATCATCCGCCTGTGACAGGAGCCAGGGAAGCAAGTGAAACAACCATTAAGCACAAATCTGGAGCAGTTTCCTATGAAAGCAGATGGACACGTCCTAAAGCCAGTGACAGGGTGAGCGGTGATCAGCATCAGTCAGCTGGCAGGTGCCAGCCCAGCAAGGCTCCACCCATGCACTGTCATGTACTCCCTGACCTCTGCAGGAACCCCAGGGTCTATACAAGTCACATACAGAGAGGAACAAACAGTCAGAGAATCAAAGCCCGTAAATAAAAATACAGTAAGTGTAGCTGCTTTTGCTTTCTTATTTTGCAAGAACATCAGCAAATGAGCTGTGCTTGGCCCACGTGACAGCTTCGCCATCTTAAACAGTGAGCACAGTCCTACGTGACTAACAGTGGCTCAGCGATCACACACTAGGAACTAGTCTAATGCTTTATGTATAAGAATCACAGGTTAGCTGCCACTCTTAACTCCGTTCAGCAAATGAAGAAACTGAGGCACAGAGAAGTAACTATCTGGTATGGCTAACCTACAGACCACGTGTAGCTGAGGCCAGCTGTAAATGTGGCCAGATATAAAACTATAAACTTACAAAAAGCGTGATGAAATTTTTTCATGTGATCTCTGTTAAATTGACTGGGTGGTTCTAGGGTGTTTGTTATAGATGGCAACACCATGTGACAGGAGCAATAGACTGGACATACTAGAATCCTAGCACAGTCAAAAGTCGCTGGGCCTTTTGCTCTTCTCTGTACTTTCATTCTTTTTTTCTGAGTACCTATTAATAATAAAATAATAATATAGAATTTTTAATTTTCCGGCTTTTACCATAAGCACTAGGGTCCTCGAGAGCTCGCAGTGTATCCCCAGGAGTTCTTCCATCCCTGCTCCCTGTCATTTTCTCGATGACACCTCTCCCCTGCTGCGGATTCTACCACAGTCTTCACCTGAAAGCCCTGGCCCGACTCAAGACCATGTTTTCTTGTCTACCTGCCCGATTCCTCCCAGCCAGAAAGGCCCGTGTGTTGGGCTTGCAATAATGCTGCTCATTCTACTCTAGTACTCTATCACCAGGAAGGCTCCTTTCTCAGCCTCGTAGTGACTGGATACTCAGCCAAAGCTTTAATAAAAGGCCGCCCTGCTACCTGATCAAAGTCCACTCCTGCACCTTCCCTGCAACACTCCCATCACAGACTTTACTACAGTCTGGAACACTGCGCTTTCCCCGCCCTGCCTGTGGAGCTCAGCACACAGCAGGAGGCTTGCCTGTCTTCCTCCATGCTGTCTTCCTGAGCCCCAGAACGCAGCCTGTGAGGTGCTGAGTTAAGTCTGCACCAGGAAAGTGGGTGTCATGAGTAACTGAAAGCATTCTGGAGACTCCTACCTGCATCTGGGCTTTCTTCATGTTGGCATTGACGACGGCCGCCATGTAACTGAGTGCCGCCTCTCGCGTTTCGCCGTTTAACAAAATACTATGCAGAATCTTGAAAAGCTCTTGCTGAAAAACAATTGACTTCTTTTTTACTTTAAGAATAGTTCCCCACCTTCCTTCCCGCATCCACTCCTTGTAGGGAACCCAAGCACAGTCAACAGGTATGTGTGTGTGTGTGTGTGTGTGTGTGTGTGTGTCCATCCAGGAAGAAGGGAGAGCAGCAGCATGCAGCAGGAGGATGCTGAGCGGTCACAGTTCAACGAACTTCCATCCCATGAACAACACAACCTCGAACAGCTAGGCACTGCGCTTTTACAATTTAGCATGGAAGACACACTGAGTATGTTAGGGATCAGTGGGTCGGCAAAGAATGCTGCACACTACAAGTTCTTGCTCATCCTCATGGTTTCCATGGCTACAGGAAAACTGCAGAGAAGGCACGGCCCCCAGACATCACTCCAGTCCCCCACTCAGGTCTGCTCTGCCCACCTACAAAGTCGGCTCCTTCACCAGCTCACTACACTTTTCAATAAAGGCAAGAACCACTGTTTAACTACCTGGGAAAACACATTTAAAGAATCACGTTAGATGGCTTACTTCAAGGAGCATATATAGTTTCTTTCACTTTGGCACGACAGTCCCAGGGAAACAGCAGAGCCAGGGTTCAGTCTCTGAGAGACAGCTTGACTGACCCCCATGAGGTGCTGGGCTGCAGTTTCACGTCTGCCCAGCAGCAGCGCAAGCGCTAAGAGCAATGGGGTGAGGTCTACAGGGAGTGTCTTCTCTGTCGACAGCCTGGCCTCCGCGATGGCAGTGGCCTGAGTAGCAAGCACCTCTGAAGCAGGCCTTTCTTTCTGGGGAGGCCCTCTCCTCGGCTCCCTCCTGAACACCTACCCGCCCCAGCTCCAGGTAGTGCTGCAGCGACTGGCTGACCACGCGCGTGTTCTCTAGGGTGATGGCAGGCCCTGAGAAGTATTTCTCAACCACCTTTGCCTGAAAGGAGAGGAAATACTCCATCAGCACACGGCGACCGTCAGGGGAGGGCTGAACGCTGTCAGACGCGTACTCACATCGTCCTCTGCGAAGACTGAGAAGCTAAAGAAGGCCCCTAAGTAGGAGAGTCTCTGCAGCTCCCGCCCGGAACCGGGGCTTAAGGACTTCGGCAACCACAGGGGTAGCGAGGCGACCTAGACACAGCACAGAGGGATGCCCAGGTGCTGAGGAGCTCAGAGTGCCCACCAGTCAGACACAGGTGGCTCTGGGCACCCGGCACCCCAAAACACAAGGCACAAACAGGTCAGATTCCTTTTAATATTTTACTACCTCAGAGACAGGGTACTCTCCAACAGTCCATATTTTTTATAAGAAACACTTTTAAAATTTTGTTTACTCATTCACAATTGTGTAGTTTGTCATCTTTCTCCTTCCCGCCAAAGCCTTTCTTCCCCTCCGTTTCTCACGCGGTCTCTGCGCAGCCTCTAAGGACACTTGCACGAGCATGAGGGGCACCGTTTACTTCAGCAGGCTGCACTGCTGTGCCGGGACTACGGCAGTGGGCACACTGCTGAGGACTGTGACTCTCTCCAAAACCATTAACCGCCTATAACAAGTCAAGACACTCACGAGTCAAACTTAAAAGACTCATCTGCTGCTACTCAAAGGATCCATTCGTTTTCCCACAAGACCCCTATTCTAGCTGTAGAGCACTAACCCTCAGAAAACACTTCATCATAGAAAATCCTATATAATAGCAATTTAACAAGTAAGGGCGCCCCCGCCTACATCCAAATGTCTTTCAAGAGAAGTCTTTAGCTGAGTTTACTTTAGAAATGGCTTCTGTGACAGGACAGGTCAATGTAAACACTCACCAGACAGGCACTTACCAAATTGCACATAGGGTGTGTCTTCCCAAACTTGGTTTCACAGAGTTCACCCAGTGCCTAGAAATAAGACAGGAAGGAATCAGTGTTGTGTTCTGTCTCACAGTGCTGCCAGGTGTGACAGCAAGGGACAGCTTTCATTTCCACCACAAATGCTTGGCCAAGCTAAACAAACAAACAAAGAAACCAAACCACAACAAAACCTAACCCTGCCTAGATGGCTTGGTGTGCACCTTTAATCCCAGCACTCTAGAGGCACAGGCAGGTGGATCTCTGTGAGTATGAGGCCAGCCTGCTCTTCAAAGTTTCAGGGCAGCCAGGGCCACATAGTGAAATTCTGTGTCAAACAAAACAAAAACCTTTGTGGGAGGGGAAAACATGAGCAAAATACATTGCATGAAAGAGTATTTAAGTTGAAAATGAAAGGCACTTAAAGGACAGCTACAGAGCTGAGACAAGAGTCCCTGACCTTCACTTGCAGACAACATGCCCTTTGGTGTCCTGGTGAACTGCTTTCCAGAAGATGTGCACTTAGTTTTTAGAACCGAGTTTTGCATCATATCATTTCTTGACTTAAGATTTGCAGCATAGACAGTGCGGGCTAGTCCTGCCAGCATCACCCAGGGTTTATTCTGGACCCAAGAAGCTAGCCGACACACTGAAGGGTGATGTGACGTGGCTCCCAGGCAGGTACAGAAACTCTTCTTCAGTGCGGCTGTCATTCCACACTAGACAGTCATGACTAACAGTTTACTCCAAGTCCATCAAGCCACACTGAATATGTGACTCAGTCAGAGCTTTGGTCACTGATGTGGGGAGCTACCGGGAAGCTTAAGTTCTCTTCACCGAAGATAACACATCAACACCACAGGGAAAGCCGGAGACAATCTGAACACCAGGTAACCCTGCCCACAATTTAAGGAAAAGTCCAGGTCGGCAGCCAGACATCACCACTGTTATTTATTGTTGGCGTTGTTATCGTTGTGGGGGTGCATGTGTGTGTTTTCCTCCCAGAACTCTCACTTCTCCTGCCTTAACATCCTCAGTCCTGGGACTGTAGGCATGTGCCACATGCCCAGTGCACCAGCATAAAGAACAACCCTCTGCTGATTACAGCATGGGACAAACTAAGAGGCCACCAATAATTCCCTTATGTCTGAGCCAGATCCAAGCAGTCTTCCTCTTCTGGCCTTGTCTTACCCATCTCCTTCTCTCTCCTCCCTCCCTCTCTGCGAACCCTCAGTACTGTACTAGCATCAACAGCAGGCCCCAAATTAAGTCACTTTCTACCACAAAGGATGCTTCTGTCTTTCACCAAGGGTACTTTGTCGATATCTATCACTAAATTCTCTTCCCTGAAACACTGAACTAATTTTGATGAGGACCAAAAAGGCAACAGTTTCAAAGGAGCATTTACATAACAGTGAGGGTGTGATCAGCACTGCCGGAAAACCTCCCAGCTGAAGCCTCAGCCATCCCACTCTGCTTGGCCTTCTGCATGCCATGCAAATAGCGTGCCATCCACATATTTTTTAAGAAACCTAATAACATGGGTGCAATAGGTTCACACTGGTTCAATTTTTTTCTATCCATCCATCCATCCATCCATCCATCCATCCATCCATCCATCCATCCGCCCATCCATCTATTCATCCATCCATCCATCCATCCATCCATCCATCCATCCATCCATCCATCCATCCATC